ATTCTGATCTGCAAAGTGCCTGAGGTCTGGCAGTGTTTTTGTGCATCTTACCAAAGGATTTAAAGCAAGTGGAGAGGGAAATGCAAAGCACACAGAAAGAAAAAATAGATTAAACCCTTGTTGCTGTGTTGTGCTTGCAGCTGGAAAAGTGAACCTGCTTAACTAAAGGTGGAGCCAGCCCAGCCAGCAGATCAAACCAGTGCCTTTGAGCAGCATGTGCATCTCTGGGCTTGTATCCCATTGAAACAGGTTCTGGGTTGTATCCTCAGGCACAGGTTCTGGTTCATGGCTGAATTAAACCAATGTTTTGAGAAGTATTTTAGGAGATTCTGGCTCAGGTGTCCAGGGCCTGCTTTGCTTTTCCAGGAGTGCAACACCTCTGGAAGTCAGACATCCAATTAGAGGAAAATCATATCTAATTCTCCTTTCTGTTTCATTTTCCCAGTCATGAAAGGCAGTCTGCCCTGGGAAAGGGCAACACTCCATGCACAGTTGCAGCACTCCGTGGAGCTACAGCTGTGTTGATAAAGGGAGAGCAGGGACCTCAGAAGGCCCTTTCTGGTTGTGTTTTAAAATTATACTTCTAGATTAGTCTTAGTGATTTAAGTGCAGAGCAAAATACTGATGCTGAGCCTTGCTGTCCCTGTGGAGTCCTGCTTTGATGCCCTCCAGTTGTTCCACACAGCCAGAGCTCTGTCCAGTGTCCCCCAGCACCACAGGGCCTGGGAGGCATCAGCAACTCTGAATCAACACACAGAAGTGGCTTTTGGCAGGACCTGGATGCTCTCAGGGTGATTTGGAAGCACAAAGACCACTTCTCTCCCTCTCAGCAGAACTTTATGTAGCAAACAAAGGGACCTAAAGTTGCCTTTGGTAGAAACTCCAGGAGTTTTCAGGAATACAAATAGGACCACAGAACCACTCTGCTCTGAAAGCTCTGCCCATGGGAGAAACCAGTGTGAAGTTTAATTATTTTGTCGATGAGAATCTCTCATATTATAGAAATTGTCTTTCCTTCCCCTTCTAGCCTGGTGCTTTCTTTCCTTTTTTCTTCTGGCTCACTGATGCACGAGGCCCCCTTTCTCCCCTAAGAAGGAACAACTGCGTAATTGAAATGGAACACTAGTGAGGATTTTTTAATCTGAAAGTCAGCATTAATTAGTCAGGTCGGTTGTAATTAGCTTCCTCATCTGTCACTGCCTCTCTCCAACTTGCCAATGACTTTCTTCTATCCTAGATGTCACTGAAAAAGAACTGTCATGTGGGAGCTGCTTGGGTGTTTTTCCTGGTTGAGGTGCAAGGGAGTGACTGTCCCTGTGGGGCTGTTGGGGCTTGAGCTGGGTCCTGTCTGGAGGAAACCTGTTTGCTTTGGAAAGGGCAGAGGGAAGCCCAAGAAATCCGAACACTTACCTCCCAACCAGCTGAATCAGTGCCTCTTCTCTAAAGAGATGGATCCAGGGCTCCTAGGAGTGCTCTTATCCTCTGCTCCTTTCATCCTGGTGCAGGCTAAGCTTGCTCAGAGGCGAGGCAGGGCTGCAGGATTAAGTCCACTGCATATCCGGGAGTTGAAAAAGTAACTGGGCCGCGATTCAGTTCTGGGAGTGCCTGGATAGTACAGGAAGCGGTAGAGGGAAAACAGGCCAAGCCCTCAGGTACAATTCAAGCAGAAAAAATGCACTTCAATCCCCTTCTGGCTGATTTCAGGGTTTATCTCTGCTGCCGATTCCGTTTGCTGTGTTTTGGGTTGGATGAGCTTTCATCCTGACCCAGGCAGGATCTGAGGAAGGCAGCAAAGCCAGACGAGTCCCAAGGGCAGTGCCAAGTGTGCTGTGTCTGGCTTTGGAGCTGAATCACGTGGTAAAGCCCCATGAAGGGGGTTCAGAGCTGTGGATTCAAGCACACACACACCCCATGAGCAGAGGGAGGCTTCGCTGCCAGGGACAGCCCAGCCCAGGTGCCCCCTGTCCTGCCCTTGCCTCTCTCCCAGACCAAATCTTGATCCTTCCCTGACTCAGTTCTCATGTGTTTATAGTCTTGGGGCTTCCCCAGCATTTGCTGTGCTGGGTTTACACCCAGTGTCAGAATTTTTACCAGTCTGCAGCCAGGGGGTGACACGGGTTGGTCATCAGACATTGTAGGTGCCCATCTGTTATACTGCAGTCTCTGGGAGAGTGAATGGAAGAGCCAGAGGGAGATGCCTGCGGTCTAATCCCATCCTTGAGTTGAGGATTTAGCTCTTGGTTAAGAAAGAAGAGGGTGTGATCCCTTTTCTGCCTTATTATTATCTCGCTCGCTCTCATTTCCCTTTCTTGTCACGTGCAGGCTCTTCGGTCTCAGGATTAGAATCTTTTCCCTCTTTCTCCTCAGTAGCTCAATAAATGGGAAATTATTATGGCTCTTTACCTCTCTTTCTAAAGAGAGAACACATGCACTTGTTCAGGTCTCGCAGTAACTCTGTTCTGCTGAAGGAGAGCTCAGGCCAGCAAGAGAAAGGGCAGGAGTGGAGGGGAGGTAACTGCAGGTCCTCACCAACCTGCCCAGGTGGGATGAGTGAGGTTTGCACCTGCCTGCGTTCCTGCAGCACCACCTGCACTAATGTGGACTGAGGTTGTAGCTTGGCTGTCCCTCAGAGGCTGAAGGGTGACAGTACCTGTCATCCGAGCGATGGATGGGGGTCACACACAGGCCAAGGATGTGCTGAGGGTGCCTGACTGCAAAGGTGAGCAGTTTGGGGTGACTTGTGAGCTGTGGCTGACATGCTAGCAGGCTGTGGACACATCTTGGGTAGGATTATGGCTGTGTTTGGGAGTGTAGAGTGTGAGAGAGAAGGCAGGACTGCCTTAAGAAGCAAATGGGAGAGGATTTATTTGCACATTCAGGGACCTGGGAAAGCTTCCTCCCTGTCATGACACAAGTAAGAACATGTTGGTCTGTGTGCCCACGCAGCTGAGCAGCACCTGCAGGCCAGTGCCTGTCCTGGGCACCACCATTCGTGTGCTCTTGACTCTGCCCCAGTGCCCAGGGCTCACACAGAGATCCAGGGATGTTCAGGGAAACTTTCAGACACTCCCTGGCTGTTTAGGATTATGCCTCCTGAATATTAAAGAAATCTCAGTGAAACCCAAAACCAGCTAGATTTCTCCTGACCTTTCCAGAGGCTTGAAATGATCCCCCTTTGCCTTATTCTTGCTGTCTAACAGCCCTGCATGTGAGGGGGGAAACAGCACAGCAGGGTTTTGTGAGCCATCCTCTCCTCACTCTATTTCTTAGCCTGCTGGTGGTTGGAGGCTTGGCAGGAGAGGGGCTGTGGCCATGTGCCAGCAGTGGTGCCCGTCTGTTTTGGCACTATGAGGTGGCAGAGCAGGAGAGCTGTGCCCTCCTGCCCAGCTCCGCAGCCTGGCTGGGGTGGGTGAGCCACTGCAGGAGAGGGGCTGGGAGAGCCCCTGCCCTCACACTGACAGGAGGGGTGGGATGTTCTGGGACAGGATCAGCTGCAGATTAAATTCACCGATGTGTGGACAGGAACAGGGGGGCTGGAGCTCAGACGTTTCCTGTTCTCCACAGGCTCTGTGGTGTTGGAAGCACTCTGCTGTCCAGATCAGACTGAATCCCATGGGAGCTGCTGGAGCTCCCATGAACTCTCTGTGAGCAAAGCCACTGGCATTGCCCAGGCTGAGCAGAGCCAGGGGGATTGCTGTGACCCCTGCTCCTTTGCACAGCCCTCTCCTGCCAGGGGGCATTTCTGCCCCATTGCTTTTTCTCTCAGTCCAAGTTCATGCAGCTCCCAGGTCTTCTGAGAACCTACAGTTAAGAGGTGCAGGGAATTTATCTTCCTACTGATATAAAGCCTGTTAAAATCCTGGTTAGGATCAAAGCTCGTAAATTGTTTCTGGCCTGTGTGTAAATTGCTTTCAACTCCCAGGGTCAGGTAACAAAGTGAACCTGTTCATTCATTCATTCAGTGAGTGGGGACTGCTGGTTTTGCTGCCCAGAGCTGGGAAAGGAAGGGACACCTACAGAGTCTGGGCTTTGCTCTCAGGGACCACCACCCATGGATCCCTGGCTTGGGAAGCTTCCCTGAGATACCCAGGGAAAGTCTGGGAACCTGTGTGTGCTGGCAAACCCCTGCAAAGGAGAGCACCTCCTAGGGATTATCCCTTTTCTTTCCTGCCCAAGTGTAGGCTGACCAGGGAGAGTTTCCTCCTGCATTCCATGGGAGCAGTAACTGCTCTTCCTTCCTGGTTGTTCCATAGGAATGGGGGAAACACACTCGACAAATAATATCCTGCAGGGGTGGAAGGGAAAGCAGGGGTGTTCAGCCCTTTCCCTTCCCACCCTGGAGGTGGATATCCCTTGAAGGACTGGAGCAGGGTCACAGCGAGTTCAGGGGGGGTTTGGGATGTGCAAATCTGTGCATACATGTGTGTGTGCAGGTGTGGGTGCCTCTGCTTCTGGCTCTGGGTGCACACACATGCACACCTTGTGGGAAAGATGAATACACCTATAAATAGCTGGGGAAAACCTACTGTCTTTTTTAAGGAGAGGAAGATACACTCCCTTGCATTTTTTATCTGATAGCACGAACCGTTCCTGGGTGTGAGAACCAGGTTAGCTAATTAAATGTTCCTGCTGCTGCAGTCAGAGCAGCACAATGTGAATCCCTGCAGTCTCTGTGCCTGGTGCTCCTGGAGCCATGCAGAGCCTTGCAAAGCCCTCCACTGCCTCAGCACTGAGCTCTGGGACTGTTGTTTGAACTTCTGCCTCTCTGGTTCCTCTGCCCAGCAGGGTGTGGGACACCCCATGGCAAGGCTGCTTTTTCAGCAGCTGTAGCCAATCTGTGGGGTTTGGAAGGAGGGATGCTTTGCTCCTGAGGGAGCTGGAATGTGCCTTCATCCCAGCTCTGCTGCTGGGACCCTTGGGCAGCTGCTGTGGGTTCATGGCTGTGCCTGGGACACCACTGCTGGGCCTTGCTGACTGCTTTCCTCTGCCCCTGTGTGCAGGCACTGGACATGGACACAGAGGATGACCCCTTGTTGCAGGATGCCTGGCTGGAAGAGGAGGATGAAGAGGTGGCCTTCAGCTCCCGCAAGAGGCGAGAGGGTGCTGTGTTGTGTGGGAAAAGCCCGTGCAGGGTCAGGCCCCTGCGTGTCACCCTGCCCGTGTCTGGCTTCTGGAATATTGTTGGCTGGGTGTTTACCAACCCGTACTGCGCTGGCTTCATCCTTTTCCTGGGCTGTGCCATCCCTGCTGTGCTGGCTGTTGTCATGTTCCTGCACTACCCGGCCCTGGATATCGACATCTCCTACAACGCCTTCGAGATCCGCAACCACGAGTCCTCGCAGCGCTTCGACGCTCTCGCCCTGGCCCTCAAATCCCAGTTTGGGTCCTGGGGGAGGAACCGCCGGGACCTGGCTGACTTCACCTCCGAGACCCTGCAGAGACTCATCTTCGAGCAGCTCCAGCAGCTTCACCTCAACGCCTCCCACCTCGGGGTCAGCGCGCGGGTCAGGCGCAGTCCCCCCGAGGGCAGGACGAGCTCCCCCGAGCCCTGTGTCCACCCGAGCCCAGGGAACAGGACGTCCCGGGTCGGGAGGGGAGCCCCACGCTGGGATTACTCCAGCACATACATCAGTGCCAACACTCAGACTCACGCCCACTGGCGCATCGAGCTCATCTTCCTGGCACGGGGGGACTCGGAGAACAACATCTTCACCACCGAGCGCCTGGTCACCATCCACGAGGTCGAGCGCAAGATCATGGATCACCCTCGCTTCCGGGAGTTCTGCTGGAAGCCCCATGAGGTCCTGAAGGACCTGCCCCTGGGTTCCTACTCCTACTGCTCCCCTCCCAGCTCCCTCATGACCTACTTCTTCCCCACTGAGAGAGGAGGGAAGATTTACTATGATGGCATGGGACAAGACCTTGCTGACATCCAAGGTGAGCTGGGGGCTGTGGGCGAGGGCTGGTGTGTTCAAGGAAAGGACCTCCTCAAGTTCAGGCAGTCCCTGGTGTTGCAGCTGAGAGGGATGAGACTGCCTCGTACAGAGAGGAAGAGCCTGCTGGGCTGTGCCTTGAGGAATTGTCTTTTCTGTACTGGGGCCCCTTTCCAACCCTTTCATCAACTCCAATCACGGGCCCCCCTACCTGAGTGAGAGGGACAAGTGAGGCGCAGTCCTGCATGGTACAAGGCCTCTTCTACTGACCCTTGTCCCCTGTGAATGACTGTGGGTAACTAGAGCAATGTCAGGGCTTGGACAGGCAATAGGGATGAGCCCCCCTGCACCACAGAGCAGATGAAAGAGGTCTGTGGGCTGCTCTGGAGCTTGAAAGGCAGCTTGTGAGTCACCAGCTGGAAAGTCTCCTATAAGGAGAGGAGGAGGAAGGCCCTGCCTCCTCCCAGCTCTGTACCCTGTTCTGTGCACCTCTAGCAGAGCAGAGGCTCTGGATGGTGCAAAAGAGGTGACTCATGAGGAGTCTGTGGGTGTGATGTGGCTGTGGGATGAAACCTCCATCTGTCTCCCAAGCCAGGCTCAGCTGAGAGCTGTCCAGGAGCCATACAGGGAGCAGGGAAAGAATTAACTCCATCTGCTCCCGTGTGAGTAATACTTCTGTTACCAAAACAGGAAAGAGCATAGTTTCTGGGTCTTTATTGTGTGAACTCAAGGAAACTGGATTTTGTGGGTAGTGGTAGACAGGAAGTGCCTCTTACTCAGAACTGGCTGAGTGCTTCCATCTCTACATCCCTCACACCATCAGATGGCAGAGGTACCATGTCACAGCAGAGCCAGGACTTCTCCTCTTCCCTGGGCATTGTTTAGTTCTTGTGCTTCCCAGGGTGGTGGAGCAAATATTGTCCCAGTGTACAGGAAGGAAGCGCATCCAGCAGCAGGAGTGAGGATGGGGATGTTGTGTGCATTGCTGGCTGAGGGAGCTGTGGTTCAGGTCAGTCAGGTGGAAGATGTCCCTGATGGGGGAACTGCATGTAGGCAGCATCAGCAGAGTCACAAAGCAGAAGTAGAAGGTGAGTCTTTGCAATTCAGCTTTCCCCCAGCCCTCCTTGCTCTCTGCAAGGTAGCAGCAGTCAGCACCCCTCTGATGAAGAACAGGATCACTCCTAATTTCCCTTTGTCAGACCAGATCCCGTGTCTTGCTAAAACAATCAACCAGGGTCTAAAAAAGGTGGTGCTGCCTTGTCCCGCAGGGTCCCTGGAGCTGGCCATGACCCACCCTGAGTTCTACTGGTATGTGGATGAGGGCTTGTCTGCTGAGAACATGAAGAGCTCCCTGCTGAGGAGCGAAATCCTCTTTGGGGCACCTCTGCCCAACTACTACTCGGTGGAGGATCGCTGGGAGGAGCAGCGCCGCAAGTTCCAGAACTTCGTCATCACCTACGTGGCCATGCTGGCCAAGCAGTCCACGAGGTGAGGGTGTGTGCAGGCAGGGCAGGTGCCTGGCTGGGAGCAGGGAAGGGCAGAGGGTGGAACAGGCCTCTGAGGGTGTAAAAGCTCCGCCTGAAGGTTCACACAGGGCAGATGTGCCTGTTCCGCTCCGACAACCCTGTTCTGTTCAGCCTCACTGGGAAGGCACCAGGCATAGAAGGCTTGGCATGCCAGCTCAGACTGCTGGACAGCCTTGGACAGTGGCCATGGCATAATGCTCCAGAAGAGGAGAAAAAGCATCTCCTTTGAAGCTGGGCTCATGCATGGAGCTGTGAATGAGGGTTGGGAGCATATGGCAGAAACCCACTGCTTCCCTTTGATGCCACTTCTGAGGCAGCAACATTCCAGAGACATCAGTAGAGACAATGAAAAGGGACTGAAGGCTAAATTCAGTGCCTGCCCTTCCACTGAGCCCTTGTCTGGCATTGGATCTCTTTGCCTCCATCTCACAAATCCAGTTCCACTGGCTCAAACAGAGCTGCCTTCCTGCTCTGAATTTGTCCCCAGCTGTTCTGATGCAGGGGGTGAAACGGTCTTTATGCAGGTTATCAACCTGCAGATCCAATTCTGCTTTTGCTTTTTGTGCAGAGGGATAGGGAGGGGAGTTTCAGGGCAGGATAAGTTTCAGGAAATGCAGACTTTTTCCACCACCAGGTCTGCATGACTTTGTTGAATAGAGCTTTACTCAATGCCTGTGAGAGAGAGATGGTAAAACAGAGCTACAAGAGCATCTCAGTACCCAGATAGCTGAGGGAAGGCAGTGAGTCCCAGTGTTTGTACCTTCTTAGGCTCCAGCTCTACTGCTCTGAGCCTCAGTAGCTCCCAGAACAAATGGATGCTGATCCTCAAAAGCAGTTTGGAATGCAGGCAGCCCCTGTCAGCCCTGAGAACAGGCAGCCACAGAGCACTCTCAGATATGGGCTGGCAGAGCAGGTTGTGGTTATGAGAACCCGAAAGGGAATTGGGGCCAAGGCTCAGTTCTGAGGCTCAGACCCCTGGTAGTCTCCTATGGTGCAGCATTATTGTACTCCTGGCTAAATTATCTCAGATTACTTCTGCTCAGAGCCCACTTCCAGAGGCAGAAGCTGGTAAATCGTATGGTTTCTGATAAGCTCTCACTCTGCCTGCATCCGCTGTGCTAATATAACAAGCAATGATTAGGATTCCAGATGGAATTGGCTTCGGAGGCTTCAGGAGCTGTCTATTATTGCCAAAGACCCACCATGCACTGGAGGAATTTTTAAAATATTAGACCTGCTCTTTATTTTTCTCCCTTCTTGTGTGAACTTCACCTCCAGCAGCAACCTCATTCAACCTGATCTCGCCACTCAGAGCAGTTTCCTCAGAGAACTGGCAGGTTATTAGAGCAGTGACCTCCTTTGGCTCTGGAGAAGACACTGTGCTTTAAATCACCTGGCTCTGCTCCTTTTGCACTCAGCTCTGCCTATTCCTCTTCTTTCCTGTCTTCTCACCCTAGCAAGGTCCAGGTGCTGTATGGAGGGACAGATTTGTTTGACTATGAGGTGAGGAGGACTTTCAACAACGACATGTTGCTGGCCTTCATCAGCAGTAGCTGCATAGCTGTCTTGGTCTACATCCTCACCTCCTGCTCAGGTAGGCTGTGGTCACAGCTGCCCTGCTCTCACACAAATCCAAATGTGCTGTGATTCCCCCTGCCTGAGCCCCAGGAGAGGCTCTGATGCCCTGGCACCAGCCTGGCTGTGTGGCACAGCAGCATGCAAGAAGGGCACACAAGTCTTATTCTCCAGAGATATGTGGGCAGGGTGAGGGGAAGGTTCCCAGGAAATCAAAAATAAGATGCAAATTCCTATCTTGCTAACACTGGTGTGAATCTGATATCATTTCGTGGATGGGCCTCACGGGAAGGAGTCTGCAGGCAGTATTCTTGCAGCCCTGAGCTATTCTCTCTCACCAACACTTTCATGGGGGTATTCCAACAGGGCAGGTGGGGGGTGTCTGTTCTCCTGGGGGTGGCCAGAGATACTATTTTTTCCATGTTTCTTTTCTGCTGTAGTGTTCCTGTCATTCTTTGGCATTGCCAGCATTGGGCTGAGCTGCCTGGTGGCTCTGTTCCTGTACCACGTCGTATTTGGGATCCAGTACCTGGGTATACTCAATGGTGTGGCTGCCTTTGTCATTGTGGGGATTGGTAAGCACGTCCTTTCTCAAAGCCTCCCTGTGCTGCCTTGCCCCAGCTCCTGCCTGCAGGGGAGAGGAAGGTGATGGTGGCAAACTCAGATTGAACTCCCAGGCCCTTTCCCTCCGTTACCTCCAAGTGTAATATTTGCAGGTCAAATGTCGAGGGGGAAATGAGATTTTTAGCATGTGTCACCACTGTGTGAGTGAAGTATCAGCAGCTCTGCCCTGTTTTTCCAGGGGTTGACGATGTCTTTGTTTTCATCAACACCTACCGCCAAGCCACCCACCTCAAGGACCTGCGGCTGCGCATGATCCACACGATCCAGACAGCAGGGAAGGCCACCTTCTTCACCTCCCTCACCACTGCTGCAGCATATGCTGCCAACATCTTCTCTCAGGTACCCTGCACCCGTGGGATTTGGGGGTTTCCATTTCTGCCAGAGGGCCTAAAAGAGTGGGGACCTGCCAGCACCATCTGTCCTCTCCTCCAGCGCAGGGGGATGCCCGACCTGCTTACCCTGCAGGGCTGTCCCCACCTGCTGTAAGGCACTGGGCACTCTCCCTGTAGCAGCATTCAAGACAATATTTCCTGTGCCACTGGCCAAACAGGATCCAGTGGTTTTCAGGCTCTATCTCAGTGCTTTACCTACCAGGCTTGCTGACGACCATGGCTGAGGTCAGCGTGTGCTGCTCTCAGGTCCCTCCAGACATCTGTTTCTTGCCTGCTGTCTTTCCAGCTCTCGTGCCCCAGTTGATCCCAACTCCATGTTCTCTCTCTTCCTGTAGATCCCAGCTGTGCATGACTTTGGGCTCTTCATGTCACTGATTGTGTCCTGCTGCTGGGTAGCTGTGCTCTTCACCATGCCAGCTGCTCTTGGAATATGGACCCTTTATGTGTCCCCACTAGAGAGCTCCTGCCAAACCAGGTAAGCCCTGCATCCTGTGGAACACAAGGCAGTGTGCAAATTCCTGCCCTATCATCTCAGTTATCTTCAGTCCCCTCAGGCAGCTTGGTTTTCCCTCTATCAGAAGGGAAATTTAAATTCTGCCATTCCAGACTGGAGCAAAATGGAAGCATTAGGTCCCGGTCTCATAGCCTGGGTCTCACTAATCTCCCCTGGCATGTGCATAGGTGCCTCCCAAGATCCAGACTCTGCAGGGCCAGTCAATCCTCTGGGTTGAATCCCACAGGGTTTTGGAGCCATTTGTGTCCTCAGAGCACTTAATGCACAGCTAAACCTCCAAGCTGTGGAGACACAGGCCCTGCAAGGCAGACAGATCACCACTGCTCCTGCCTGTGAGCACAAGCAGGACATTCAGATTTGTCTTTGAAGCCAGCACATTTCCCCCTCCCCTGCTCTTTAGCCCCGCAGATGACCTGGCCTGATTTAACTCATTAGCAGGGAGATGAACTCCTGAAACTCCTGTCACTCAGCACACAGTGGCCACAGCTCAGCCCTGCTCTGTGTATCCAGCCCAGCCCTGACCTCTCTGCACTTAGCAATGGAAATTGCTCGTGGCAGTGCCTGTTGTCTTTCCAAGTAATTAGAGCAGGCTGTTGCTGCTCTCCTTGTCACTGAAGGAGCCCACTGGGAACTCTTTGCAGGGTATGTGCCTTAAAACTCTTGCCTCTGTCTCCTTTCCTGCTCCAATCCAGCTGTAGTCAGAAGTGCACCAAAAAGAGAGCCTTGCACCTGGCTGAAGATCTCTTCATTGCCCCAGAGGCCACCTCCAGGGCAGGCAGAGAGACCCTTCCCTACCTTGATGATGACATCCCACTGCTCAGCGTGGAGGAGGAGCCTGGTATGTGCCTGTGGGGTGGTGCCTTCAGGGGGACCACACTGCCCTGTCCATCCTGTTCTCCCTGGCCCTGCCTCAGTTCTCCTAACTGTGAGTTGGAGATGGTGCTGGCACAGGGGGTTGTAGGAGTCAGAACTCACTCACAGTTATAAAGTTGCTTTGAGATCTTCAGAGGGTGTCAATACAATGCTTTCTAACAACCTTGCTAATTCTCTTGGGTCCAATGTGATCTGCTTCCTGGGAGCTCTGATTGTGACCATGAAACACCTAATCCATAGTACCAGGACAGCTCACCTTTGAGCAGAGTTTTCCTCTCTTCCCTGCCATTTGGAGCACTGCATTTGGGAAGCAGGAGAGAGAACACTTGGTTGTTCTCTGGCATCACCTCTCCAGAGCAGCTCCTCTGTCACAGCACAAAAAGGGCAGTGACTTGCCTGAGACCATATAAACAATCTAGAAAAAAAGCCCAGAAATTCCCTATCTGTTGTTGGCAGGAGATAATCCTTCTACCCCTGATCTGAAGATAAAGGTGCTTACAGAGTCATGCTTTCTCGTATTTGGCTTTTAAAACTTGCTGGAAACTCTTTCTTTTAAAACCCCCAATGGCAATAGTCTGGGCAGTGAGTGACTTTCAGGCCTGGGAGCAAACTGGAGCTGGAGGCAAATGGATCAATGCCACAGCACAGGCAGACCCCTGGCTGCAGAGGGGGCTCTGAGCTGCCTGTGACAGGCAGGCAGAGAAGCTCTGGCTCTGTGCTGCAAGAGCTCTCCTCAGTATGCCAGAGCCTCGGGCACTGGTGATATATGGGAATAATCCCTCCCAGCAAGATCCTTTCCTCCAGGGCCCCTGGCATTGGGTAATTCACGAAGAAGCAAAGCAGCTTGTTCCAGTCAGTGCCCAAGTGTGGTTTGTGGGGCAGCTGTACAGAGTGCCAGGCTTGGTCCCACCACAGCCAGTGCCCACTTCTCACGTGTAGAGAAGAGGGCAGTTCCCTTGGCATCCCTGAGCTGGAGAGAAGAGGTCAGAGAGGAGCCAGGCTGCAGTCAGGAAGAGGTCAGCTGTGTATAATTAGCAGTAAGACACATTTAGTGGGACTGGGACAAATTCTGTTTGGACCAAGCAGCATGCAGTGTCCCTGTGACCTTATGGACAATGTTTGTGGGATCTGGCAGAGGAAGAACAGCCTGAAGCACAGATTTGGACTGAGCTATGGTTTCAAAAGTGTAGCTCTCGCACGGCAGTGACTTGACAAAAAACTTTCCTGTGACATCCTGGAAGGCACTGCCTCTGCCTGGGTCTTACTCCATCTTTAGCTTGAGTTGTACAGCCCCTTCAGAAGATTTGGTAAAGGAGAGTAGAGAGGTCTGAGAGACACTCATGACACTGAGACTGCCTTTGATTTCTCTTCTAGTCTCGCTGGAAATGGGGGATGTCCCCTTGGTGTCCGTGATGCCAGAAAATCTGCAGCTCCCTGCAGAGAAGAGCAACCGGGGTCACTTGATAACCCGCCTGCAGGAGCTGCTGGAACACTGGGTGCTGTGGTCTGCAGTGAAGAGCAGATGGGTGATTGTGGGTAAGGAAGGAGGGGTGGTGTTCCATCTGCATGGATTTTAGAGGGTTTGACTGCATCTCAGTCAGTCCCCAAGCCTTGATTATTAGTGACAAGAGATGAGAAAAGGGACACGGTAAATGGCTTCTATCACAGTGGAAGAGTGCTCCCAGAACAGTCAGTCCCTAAGGGAACTGCATTAGGAACTTTTCCACCGCTTTCCTTTCATTCAGATCTAAAATGGCAAGCCCTGATGGGGTTTTCCAGGCATGGGGCTCATTACAAGAAAGCCTAGCTGCCAGTGTGCTTTAGAGGTTGTTCTTTTCCCAGCTGAAAACACCATCTTTATCTTTCTACCACACTCCTGCTCTCTTAGTATGTCTCAAGTGCAAGGTGCATGTAGGGTCCCACACACTCACCTGGGTTTCTCCTTGCAGGGCTCTTCCTCCTTGTTTTGCTCCTGTCCATATTCTTTGCCAGCCGCCTCCATCCCGCCAGCCGTGCTCCAGTCTTGTTCCGGCCTGACACCAACATCCAGGTGCTGCTGGACCTGAAATACAACCTGAGTGCAGAAGGCATCTCCTGCATTACCTGCTCAGGTGAGAGTGCTGGTCCCCAGACCATGGTGGGTGCAGCCCAGCCTACACCCTGGGCTGGAGGAGCTGAGGCAGAGGCCTATGGTGTTCAGATATCTCACTGGACAGTGGATGGACCCTGCTGAAGGGAGGCACACCTTGGGAGTGGGATGGCTAAGTTGCCTGTACTAGTGGAATATTTTGAATAGTATTTCCTGCTTTAGCCAGGAACTGTCTGAGTGTTTCTGCTGGAGCAATTCCCTCATAGTCCATGAAAACTGACTACTTTTATTCATAAGTGCTGCTCTCCTGTCAGTGCCCAGCTGGGGCTCTGTGTTACCTTCTCAGGGTCTGGAGTTCAGCAGCAGAGTCTGTGGTGTGCACAGGGCTGGTATGTCTCTTATGCCCTTCACTCTTTCTTCCCTGACTAACCTTGTGGGACAGGTTTGTTTCAGGAAAAGCCCCACAGTTTGCAGAACAACATCCGAACCTCCTTGGAAAAAAGGAAGAGGGGCTCAGGATCACCCTGGGGAAGCAAAGGCAGCATAAGTGATACAGGGCAGCAAGGTGAGTGGGGCATGATGACTGACCACCTTTGGGGCCAGGGCCCAAGGATCCACTCGGGTAGAAACTAAACCATATGCTCACTGAATAGCTGATGGGGAATAATTCTCCTCAAAGCCTGCCCCACTGAAGCCCTAGTGTTGGATATAAAGGGTGTCTTTACAATCCCACTTCCCCTGAATGCCTCCTGCTCTCCAGGACAGGGTCCTGTAACCCAGGTGGCAGTACAGTCTAGTGACAGATCTCTCTGATCTGAGTACAGGGCTGGGAACTCCAAGCTTTTGCATCCTGGGCCTGTGTCACAACCTTGTTGGCAGGTCACAGGGAGAGTAAATTCAGCCTGTTTTGCAGGGATTTTGAGGATGAAAGAGTTATTGGGCCAGGTCCCGAGATGACATGAATCAGTAAGCTGTCAGGAATTACTGCAGCTCAGGACATATTTGTGGCAGCCTTGGAAAGGTGTGTTGTGCTGCCAGAAGGCAGAGGCTGTGCCTGCTGTCCCAGAGGAGAGAGCAGACCAGAAGAACCCTCCTGTGCCCTGTCCACATCTGTAGGATTTGCTGATTGAGAAGTACCACCAGCCCTCATGCCCTCTGTTTTCTTCAGATCTCCAGGGGACTGTGTACATCTCCAAGTCCAGGAGCAAGGGAAGACCAGCCATCTACAGATTCTCACTCAATGCCAGTGTCCCTGCGCCCTGGCAGACGGTGTCACCGGGAGACGGGGAGGTGCCTTCATTCCAGGTGAGTCAGTCCAGGATGTTGGACCCCTCTACCAAGAGTGCAGCACTCAGCAGGTGAGCACAAGAGCCTCCTCCTGTCTCTCCATGGGGGTCCAAGGTAGCTCTGGGTGACAATGGCAGTAAGGTAGCTAGAAAGGAAGGCATTGTGCCTGGCATTGTTAAAGATTAAGCCCTGTAGTGCCACAATACTCCCCTGTCGCTGTTGTGATGTGACTGTCAGCAATGGAAGCAGAAGTGTGGGTGTCACTGACCAGATGCCAGCCACCATTCAGCCCAGGCCACTGGGATTTGGGGTGCTGAGGGGCCCCATCACACACTGGCCAAGCCTGGGAAGGGGAGGGCCAGGGGGTGGCTGGGGTCGTGCCTGCAGTGCTCATCTGTGTGGCTGTGCCAGCGCTCAGGGAGGAGGGGAGTGTGTGATGCTAATGTGCAACAGGCTGCAACCCTGTGGAGTTAAGTGTCTGTTTTCATTAATCCATTGCTTAGGTGTATAGAGTGCCTTTCGGTAACTTCACCAGGAAGCTGACAGCTTGTGTGTCCACAGTAGGGCTGCTTAAGCAGACGAGCCCCAGGAAGTGGATGATGACCACCTTGTCCTGTGACACCAAGAGGGGCTGGAAGTTCGACTTCAGCTTCTACGTGGCCTCCAAGGAGCAGCAGCGAACACGGTAAGCTTCCAAACCCCCTCCTGGCCAGGCAGCAGAGACAGCACAGCTGATCCTAATGCCCAGTGCCAGTCCTGCCCTCAGCTGGTGACATCTGTAACCCCAAAACTTGCTTTGCTGCACATGTGCCCCATCTCTGCAGTCATTCTGCAGGCCCATAGCATCACCAACGTGCCAAAGGCCTCACAGGGGCAGGGCTGTGACTGGGGATTTCGTTGGGTGGCAAAAAGACGTTGCTGATCTTGGGTTCTGTCGTTGCTGATCAAGTTCTTGTCCTTGCCCACCTGAACTCTTGGGCTGCATGGGCAGCACACAATAGGCTAGGGATCCAGGCCTGGAGATGCTCACCTTTCCCTTTCCTTCTGCCCCTGAGAATGCCTGTTTCCACGTAATGCTTTGGCAAATCACCCTCACTACCTCTGGTCCCCCTTAACAAACTTTCTTTGCTGCACAGGAAGCTGTACTTTGCCCAGTCGCACAAGCCCCCCTACCACGGCCGAGTGTGTGTGGCACCCCCGGGCTGCCTGCTCAGCTCGAGCCCAGATGGACCCACCAAAGGCATCCTGTACGTTCCCAGTGAGAAAGGTGAGCTGATGATTCCCTCCTGGCTGTCAGATCCAGGGAGTCGGAGCTCTTTGGCCATCTAACGTAACCAACCTATCCTTGTGTTTGGCAGCAGCAGCACCCAGGGCGAAGCCGTCAGCCACGTCTGGGTTCAACCCGTGCATGAACACGGGCTGTGGGAAGCCGGCGGTGCGGCCGCTGGTGGACACGGGAGCCATGGTGTTCGTGGTGTTCGGGATCAGGGGCGTCAACCGCACGAGGCGCCCGGACAACCACGTCATCGGAGACATGGTACACACAGCCCGGGGGGTGGGACAGCCCCTCTGGGTGGGGTCTAGTTAATCCCCACAGCCCAGGCAGGTGGCCCAGCCATCCAGACAGGTGGAGGAGCAGAGTTGGCAGCGCTGTGATGAGCCAAAAGTACACTTCTGTTCTAGCAAATTGACAAATAATGGAGGTCAAGAAGCCCTTACTGAAAACACCTCAGACTTTTCAGAAAACCTCTTTGAGTGCAATATATAACCTTCTAATTTTGAGTCTAAATCTGGCTTTCCTGAGGACTTTAGAAATAAACCCATCTTGAGCTCAGTATGAAATCTCACCTCAAATTCAAGACTGAGGGAACTGGTGTTTTTCTATAATTGTTTATCTTGCTATGAGATATTAACATAAAAGAATAAAAATAAATTACTCTAGAGAACGGTTACTAAATGTGACTTTTCTTGGAACAGCTTTATCTCCCAGATCTGATACCTTGACACATTCACAGCCTTTCCCCAGGAAAATTATGCTTAGCTCTGGTCCCTTGGCTGATGCACTTCAGCTTTCTGCTGTTCCTCCTGCCCTCTGATTTGGGGGCATAGTGCAGAATCAGCCTTTGCCTGTTCCCTTTGGAAAGGGCAGTGAGAAATGTAGGCAGTGGGATGGGCAGAAAGGTGGAGTTTTGTGCTGGGCACTTCTAGGGATTCAGAGCTGCTGCTTAGGCAGACCCTAATGGCTTTGGGCATGGCATGGTGGCTGTTCATTTATGTGTTTCTGTTGTAGTACCTGACTTTAGTGGGGTGGGCAGGACATGTAGCTTCTTCTGGGGTTATCTGGTAAGGCAAAGATGTCTGGTGGGTTTCCTGTGGTCTGTACAAGCTGGGCCCAGGCTGTGTAGCCAGGAGAGGACTTGGCTTCTGCCTCCTCGTACCAGTGGCTGAGTGTGTGCCTCACGTGTGGTGCTCCTGTTGTTGTGTCTCCTTGTGAAAGGGCAGCGTTATCTACGATGACAGCTTCGACCTCTTCAAAGAGATTGGCAACCTGTGCCGCCTCTGCAAAGCCATCGCCAGCAACGAGGAGCTGGTGAAGCCCGGAGGGGCTCAGTGCCTGCCCTCAGGTAGGTTGGACTAACTCCTGCCTGTGGCTCTGCCTGCAGCAGGGCTTGCTTGAGCTGGGCTCCTAAACTGCAAACCACAGAGGATGGCTGCTGCTTGCTGCCTCCTCTTCTTCCCAAGGCAGCTTGGCCCTTCTAGAACGTGCCCTTGGTTGTGCTTTTTGGGACATGAAAAAGAAAAACGGCCTCTTTAACACCAAAAGCACCACAAAGGTGTGTTCTTTGGGATTTAATCCAGGTAGATAAGAACAGAATTGCATCTGTTCTTTCCAGTCGTGGGTATTGCTCGTGATACACTTTAATCTTTCGAATCAGTAAATATCTTCTTGGTAGCTCCTGAGTAACCATCAAATCACACCTGATCTCACTGCAGTGAGGTTACTGTGTCTATGGCTTTGCATACCTGACCAGTGCCCAGATTTCCCAACTTAAAGAGGTCACCAGGCTTAATGAGCCTGGGAAGTGCATACTGGCTTCAGGCCAAAAGCCAATCTCATCCCAGGAAAAAAATCCCTGCAGACAGCCCTCAGCACTTACTGTTTGTGCTACTTCCTGACAGCTGGGGACAGACAGCAGTGGCAGTGTCCTGTCCTGTGCTGATGGCATGGAATGTCCCTTCAAAATACAGCAGCTGAGGGCTCTGGTGCTGAGACCTCCAGGGCTTTGGCAAACCAGAGTGGCAAGGGGAAGCAACAGCTGACAAATGGGGCCTGCAGCTTCCTCTTGGGGTTCTCTTTTTGGGTTGTTGGTTGTGGGTTTTGGTTTGGTGGGTTTTGGGTTTGTTTTTTTTTATCCCCTTGCTCCAGTGTGCTTCCATTCCCTGTGCTGCTCTCCAGCCCTTGCTCTTTCTTTCTCTCCAGGTTACAGCATCTCCTCCTTTCTGCAGATGTTGCACCCTGAGTGCAAGAACATCCCAGAGCCAAACCTGCTGCCTGGACAGCTCTCTCATGGGGCAGTGGGAGTGAAGGATGGGAAGGTGCAGTGGATCTCCATGGCATTTGAATCGGTGAGCACATGGCATCGCCATCTGTCCTGGTGACAGTTTAATCTTGTGACTTCTGGGGGTTTAGCTCTGTTTTTTCTGCACTGGCCACTTTCATTTGCAGCCATAACTTAGAGTTTATCAGTGTCTGTGCCTTGTTGCAGACAGATACCTGCACTCACAAGTTGTAAGAAGTGGCTGCTTGTGCCACAATTGGCTCAGGCAAAAGGCTGGTGGCAGATTTGCGCAGATGCCACTGCCAGTTCTGCCTGGCGCTGCCACTCCAGCTGGCTTGTTCTGCCTCTCCCCTTGCCACACAAGAAGAGCAGGGCACCAGTAACAAGTTCTTCTTGTTACAGACAACCTACAAGGGGAAGTCGTCCTTCCAGACCTATGCTGACTACCTGAAATGGGAGACATTCCTGCAGCAGCAACTCCAGCTCTTCCCAGAAGGCTCTGCTCTCCGGCACGGCTTCCAGACCTGTGAGCACTGGAAGCAGATTTTCATGGAGATTATAGGCAAGTGACTGCCATGTTCCTCTCCCTGGGAACCCACTCTCTGATACATCTTCACAGCACACTCTGTCCCATCTGGTGGACCTGGGTTATATCTTCAGTGTGCAGAATCCTAAAGCCTGTTCCTGCCCCAAGCAATGTGTACTGTCAAAATCCTAGTCAGAGCCCAGGAAAATCAGTCCTGCTGATGTGAGATCCAGGAAGCTGATAACCTTCTTTCCACTCTCATTCTCTCCTCTCCCATCTCCCCCAGTGTGGGTCCCTTGCCAGCAGGGACATGGTGCCTTTCTCATGCAGCTGTCACCTTCCAGGATCCAAACAGCTGGCTCTTCTCTTCCAGGAGTGCAGAGTGCCCTGTATGGTCTTGTCCTCTCTCTGGTCATCTGTGTGGCTGCAGTGGCCGTGTTCACCACACACATCCTCCTCCTGCTGCCAGTGCTGCTCAGCATCTTAGGTAAAAATGCCAATTCCAATGTGCCAGGCTTTCACTCAGTCTGCAGTTGGTGCATTGTGGCACTGCTGAGTCTCAGGTGACTTGAAGTGAATTGCTCCTACGCTGTGTAAACCCTTCTGGCTTTCCAGGAGTCACTCCTGGAGAATGGACTTGCTAAGTGAACAGAAGAAACTCTCAACAAATGCACAGGAACCTCACTGGGAAAGTAGATTTGTGTGCCTAATTCCCAGTGTGTTTTATCTACACAATCCTTTCTATTTGTTTAAATAAGGGTTTTAGCTACACAAATGCCATCCCTGCCTGTTATGTATAATAATGTGATTAAGTCCCACATGCTTTGAATAACAATTGCATTACTTCCCAAGAATCTGCACCATGGCTGCTGTTTCCAAGCAGTGGGAGATGTTAAAAGCTGAATATTTTAGTAGTTTTGTTAGTATTTGAAGCAAATTTGTAAATAGTTCCCTCTCCCTGACTGGTGATTTGGCGACATTGTGGTCTAAGTGTGTTGCTAAACTTCTCAGTTTAAAAATCAAATCTATCATTTTGAAACCACTTACTCTCCCACACATGACTCACAAACAAACACCACTCTTACCTTTAAAAAAGTAACAATGTATGTAACTCCAGCAAGCAAAACAAGGGGTTAATTTCCCTGTAGTACCTGTGCACGCACACATGCCTGCCTGGGCTTGGATTCATTTAGCAAGAATTAGTCTAGATTGGCATCAATCTGATTTATCTGGGTGCTCCACTAGCCCCAGCAGGTCTGATTGCCTTATGGAATGATCCCTGTGGCAAGGGAAGGTGAGGGAAGTGTTTTCCTCTGGGGCAGAAGTGAGTGTGCACAGGACTCTGGCCGGCACGCAGAGCTGCAGGGATACAATCCCAAACTCCCCAGGGATTGACTGGTATCAGTGGGCTTGGGCAGCAGTCCTGGAGTCCTTGACATTTGCCTGACATCACCTTCTTCACACAGGGGTCGTCTGCTTGGTGGTGACCATCATGTACTGGTCCGGCTGGGAAATGGGAGCTGTGGAGGCCATTTCCCTCTCCATCCTCGTTGGCTCCTCTGTGGATTACTGTGTGCACTTGGTGGAGGGCTACCTGCTGGCAGGGGAGAACCTGCCACTGCACCAGGCAGAGGTGAGTTCTGCTCTTCCTAGAGCCTTGCCTTGGTTCCTCTCGTGCCCTCTGTGCCACTTGCCCGGGATGCAGGACCCATGACAGGCAAGGGGGGACATGTCCCACCACCCTCACAGCACCCCGGGGGTGTTTGCTGCTTGTCCAGCCAACTGCTCAGACTGTGAGATTGTGTGCCTGAGTACAGTAAACCCAGCTGAGGGTCCCTTTCTTGCTGGCCACAGCTGTGCCCAAAGCAACCCCTTTTCATGTCCAAGTGAAGACAGTCTGTGCTGGAACAGCCCTACACTCCTTCTATAACCTCTGCAAATTGCTTTCCTGTGCTGTGCTGGACCTCCAGCTTTTTTATGGCCTCCTTAACAGCTTTGTCTCTTCAGGAAGATGGAGACCACACAAAAGCTTGGGATCCCTGATGCCAGGTCTCGTGCCTGCACGCAGCACCTGTGTTGTGCAGGCCCAGCAGCCAGCCTGATGTGGTGCAAAGGAGGCACAAAATCCAACAGGCTTTGCTGAATTGTTGACAAACAACCCCGTGGCTGTTTGTCCAGTGGGCTCAGAGACTGAATGAACTGTCGTGGACTGGGATTTCATGAGCTAAGCCACCTCTACAACTCCCTGACAGGAGGGGGGAGCCAGGCGGGGGTCGGGCTCTTCTCCCAGGGAACCAGCAGTAGGACAAGAGGGCACAGTCTTAAGCTCTGCCAGGGGAGGTTTAGGTTGGACATGAGGAAGAAATTCTTTACAGAGAGAGTGATCAGACTCTGGAATGGGCTGCCCAGGGAGGTGGTGGAGTCACCATCCCTGGAGGTGTTTAAGCAGAGCCTGGATCTGGCACTTGGTGTTGGTGCCATGGTTGAGTTGACAAGGCGGTGTCGGGTCAAAGGTTGGACTCGATGACCTCAGAGGTCTTTTCCAGCCTAGCTGATCCTGTGATTCAAAGCCTAAACTGTGAGTGCAGCCCCGTGTTGCTGTGCCCTCACACCACTCTCCCTCCCCACAGGACCCCCGGGCGTGCCGGCAGTGGAGGACCGTGGAGGCCGCGCGGCACGTGGGGGTGGCCATCGTGTCCAGCGCCGTCACCACCGTCATCGCCACCGTCCCACTCTTCTTCTGCATCATCGCCCCCTTCGCCAAGTTCGGGAAGATCGTGGCCCTCAACACGGGGGTGTCCATCGTGTACACACTGACTGTGAGCACGGCCCTGCTCAGCATCATGGGCCCCGGCACCTTCACCCGCAGCAGGACTTCCTGCCTCAAGGCCGTGCTGGGGGTGCTCCTGGCCGGCCTGCTGGGCCTCTGCGTCTGCCTCGCCCTGCTCAAGAGCGGGTTTAAGATCCCTCTCCCCAACGGGACAGCCCTGTAGAACCCAGGCCGGGAGCCTCTGTCCTCTTGCTCTCCCTTTCTTTTTTTCTTTTCTTTTTAAAGGATATTTTTTGTAAAGAAAACAAAAGAGGAAAAAAATCCCCTTTTTTTTCCCCAGAAGTTTTTCAACTCCAGATGCACTTTATTTTCTAATGAGTTTTGCTCTAAACTTGTATTTATTTTGGGTAGTGACGGATGGATGACGGACAGTGAGGGCTGCCCAGGGAATACCTCAGCCCGTGAGTAGGAGGGGAAGAGGTCTCCTTCTCTCAGTTTTCTTTCTGCTTTTCTTTTTCTCTTATCTTGTTCTTTTTTATTTTTTTTTTTTTTTTTTAAACCAACAGAGCTTTCTGGAACCGCAAAGCTAAAAGGGGAAAAGTTGGGAAGGCCATCTGATCCTTTAAAAAACACTTCCCTCTGACTCTTTCCTTCCCTTGTCCAGGGTCAGCATTGCAATGATGGCTCTTGAGGTGATGTCCTACCCCCACTCCAAGCCTGTGCCTCTCTCCCTGAGCCTTCAAGAACAGCAGTGAGCTGTTGGAAAGGCCTGGAGAACAGCATTATCTGGTCCTTTACCTGTACTCAAGCCAGACTCACTGCACAGGAGCTCTCATGGGTGTCATTGTGGGATCCAAACTAGAGGTGCTGGGTGGCACCACCTTCTTTCATCATTCAGGGAGGGCCTTGGGACACATGGCTTTCCCCTTCTTTCTGAGGGGACAGGGCACCTTTTGCTGGAGTCTCTTGGGTCTGTGAACAGCCATCAACAGCCTGCCCTCCCCTCCCTCCTCTCAGTAGTGAGGCCAAGGCAACATCAATGCCCAGTCCCTCCTGGTCACCTCACCAGTCACTGCCTCTGCCCTTCATGGTAGAGAGGAAACAGCCCTTTGGTCACTGCAGTCAGCTCTTACTCTGAGGACCAGGGAACCCCTGGGTTACCCAGGTGGAGCCCATACCTGGTGCCATGCACAGCATCCTCTGTGGCAGCTCAGAGACACCCTCCTGTGTGGGGACACAAGGGCAGAGGAGCTGCAGCTGCCGCCTGCTCCGAGCAGATGGTTTATATTAAAGTAAAATGAAATCGCAAACTGGTGCCATTAACAAGTACATTTTAAGCATCACTGATTCTATCATATTTTAAAAATTGAAATAGCTAAGTGTGCATTGATATGCAGCACAGCTGGTCCTCGGCAGAAGGGAAGGGTCGGGCCCACAGGGAGATACATTAACCATTATCTACAGGGATACCAATAGAGGGACGTGGCCAGGAAGGAGCCTGACTCCATTTCTTTGCAGACTCCATGTCCCTGGTGGTTTTGTGTTCTCTGTCTGGATCAAACCCCCTTCTTAAGATGAAAATTCCAGGAAGCCCATCCTCATTTCCAGCCAAGTTTTGGGGCCTGTGCTGCTTGAGAGACCAGCAGCTGCTTCTGCTTGGCTCAGTGCATCCCTGCTCTGATCCCTGCTTATCTTACACCTTCACATCATGTCACCTCTGGGGAACTGGGTCAAATGCTTTCTTCTAAAGTAGGTTCCCCAAGGCGTCAGCTGGAGAGAGGAGTGACAGGACAGGACTTTTGTTGATTCCAGGGGGAAGCCAGAGATTGCCAGAGCAATCCTGCTGCAGGCAGTGAGGTTGGTGAGAGCGTGAGCAGAGCAGACCTGGTTTCTCCTCACTATCCCATGGTGCAGCTGAGTCACCCCTTACTGCAAAGTGTTAAATGTTCCCTGGCACCTACCTCTGATCTGCACCAGCTCCTGCATAATGAACCCCATGCCCATGAATAAATGGTTCTGGGAAGGATTTTTGACTGTGCTTAAGCTGTGCTGCTTTGACAGCTGCTGTGCAGAGTCCAGCCCAATCCTTGACCTGTAAGCCATGCTTTTCCCTACATCTGGGCTCCAGGTTTAACTCCTGGTGGTGCCCTGAGTACTCCTGAGTGGCAGTGAGCAGAGAGGGCAGGGTGCTGATGACACACAGCCCCCTGGGACACATGTGGCTGTGTAGGTGCTGCAGGGGAGAGCGAGGTATCTCTGCAGCTGCTGCCAAGGATGCTCTGGCTGGTGGCCTGACTTGAACTTGGCAAAGACTTCAACCTTATTGGGGTGATTAAAGCTGCTGGATATTTCCAGGTCACCAGAGAAGAGAATAAGGTGCTGAGGGCACCCTTAGAGGAAGTTCCTCCTTCTATGAGCATGAAGAAACTTGAAAGGCCTTTAGGACAAGGCATAGATATGCTTTGAATCCTGCAAAGTTGAAAGCTCATTTCAGCCCCTGGTGTCCTACATTTATGCTCACTATAAAGAGGCTACATAAGCCCCCCACCTCCAGCAGGACTCTGGACACACCATGCTGGGAACATTCACTCAGCCACTCTTGGAAGGCAAAGATTAATTTCAAAGTAGTGGGAAACCTTTTATGTCTCCTGGGTCTGATCTGGCAGTGTCTGATCTGCAGACGAAAATAACAGAGTTCTTGGCACATGACAGGATCCATCCTGTTTTCTGGAGCAGGCAGGGAAAAGGACAAGCTCTGATTTTGCCTCCTCCTCTCTGGCCAGCCCAGCTCCCTCCGTGCAGAAGGGCTGGCTGGCACTGGCAGGAGCAGGGCATCACCTTGCCCTTGATTGTTCAAGGTGATACTGGGAAAGCAATGGCTGGAATTACTCAGAAAGGAGCAGGAGACACCGAGATAAGTGCAGAGCTGCAGCAGATGGTTCACAAAGGCATACTGAGGAGGTTGTGCCTCTCCAGCAAGGAAACTGAGGCAAGGAGAGGAAGAGGAGCTTACACCAGGTTGTAGCAGGATGGCAGAAAAGTCAGGAGGTGATCTTAGGTGACGTTTTTCACTGCAAGGACTCATTGGATGTTGGTAGTGACTAAACACAGTCATGACACTTGTCTTAAGACCTAACTAGTCATTTGCCCCATCACCACTTCCCTCTGCACACCTCTGTGGTCAGGGTGGCTGGTGCTTTCTCCACATGCAGTGGAGTGAAAGAGGCTTAGAGGTGGGGCCCAGCCTCCCCCAAAACACTTACAACATCCAGATCTTCCCAAGCGTCTGTGGAGACGATAAATCAGGAGCAGATGTATACATCCATCTCCACATAGGCAGTGTCCTCCCTGTCATTACAAAATATCCATAAAATTATAGAGGTAAGAAAAGGGATGGCTTTATCTGAGCAAATGTGGAGGTGGGACTGACAGCCCTACTGGGAATTGGTGCTCTGAGGCAGATGCTTGTAGCAATAAAAAACAAGGCCTCACCTGTCTGGTACTGTTCCAGGAGCAGATGCTCAGCCTAAATCGATTCCTCCCACATTTCTGCCTATCTTCTTCCTCTGATGACTCCCCTGTTTCCCAGACCATCTCTTGGGCCCCCTTGTCTTGCTGAGCAAGGTTCAGTCTGCTCCGTGGTAGCAGCTCATGCCTAAGGTGCTCACAGAGTCTGGACTGAAAGCGGATGGAGAAGTCTCAGGGAAAATTTCTCAGACAGAGGAAGCCAGGGAGTTAAACTGCTTCACACAAACCTGTCAGTTTTGATGTTTTTAAACAGTAGAATGCATCAGACCAGCCCTACTTGGAAGAGGATGCTCTGATTTTCCATTTCAAAACAATCTTGCTGCAATTAAAAGGAACCATACCTGAGTTCTCAGTTAGAGCACATGGCAGAGGAATGTGACTGTCAACTGCCCACTCCTTTATTTGTAGTAAATTGTGTTTTGAGGGTTAAACTCTGAAAAGTTAATGTTTCAGGAGGGGGGTCAGTGCAGTCTCCTGCAGAACAGAGCAGGTCCTGTCCTGCCCAGGAGTTCTCTCTCCAGTGCTGAAGCTCTGTGACTCATGCACAGAGCTGGTGTGGCTGCTCTTTATCTTCAGTGGAACTGCTGAATGAGTTCAGGGCTCCTTGTGGCTGTGGACACTCGGGGAGAGAGTCCCTGCTCTCAACAGCCATGTCCACATCAACTTTGGAGCAAGGTGGAACAGAGCTGCTGTGATGTGCAAAGATCAGTGTCAGAGGAAGGAACAGACCCAGGACTCCTCGCTCTGTTTGTTTCTTTATGTTGTGGTGCCTCTCGAGAGTTTGGGCAACTGGGCCATCAGGTTTGGCCACTGAACTCAGCAACTGCCAAGGCTGCAGATTCTGAAAGGGATCAGTGGCTGAGCTGGGCTGTGTTTCTCAATCCCTGCTGGATCTGAAACTATGTTAGAGCAAAGGCAGCCTGAGAAATATCACGAAGGAGAAGGACACGTGGCATGTTTAGAGAGCTACTGGGACCACTGACACAGTAGTCTGGATGCAATGGTTCTCCAGAGACCCTGGCTTTGTCTCTGCTGGAGCAAACTGGGATGTTGCTTTATGTCACAGTGTCTAATTCTTTTAGCTTGTCCTGCACTGAATTTTCATACCAGAGCAGCCTGCCCTCCTGCAAGGTTACAAAAGGCTTTTTATTTAACCCCATGACACATATAAATCCTCCCACACTGTCCACTGTGCAGATTGATTTGCAGCCAGGGAAGACAAATTCACAGTCTCTTGGTTACTTCTTCTGAAATCACTGCTCACCCTAGATAGCACACAGGCTATAGTTCAGAGATTTTTCAAAGGCCTCTGCTAACTGCTCTACCCTGGCTTAGCATCCAGGGTCCCAGAGCTAACAGGCTTTCAAGGCCTGTCTCCATCCTGAGGACAGAGTTGTTTGGCTTTCTCCTCTCCACTCCTCCTTTGGGCAGGGGAGGGAAGGGGGGGGGGCAATGGCCAGGACCAGAGCAACAAGAGGATGAGCAGAAAGGTTTCCAGGGGCCAGCAGAACAAATGGGAGGGAGGACGGTCCAAAATCCAAGGGGAGAAGAGGCGTGAGCACCCCAAGGACAGAGGGAGGGAGGGCACTGCCGTTTCACCACGTCGTGTGCAGACCTTAGAGTGTCAGTCCTCAGAGTGATGTAGCACAATTCCTGATGTACGCGTGTTCCTTTTGTAAGTCGTCTCCTACCCTCACTATTTTCAGTGTTCCTTGATTTTTGGAGACTGTTGTAAATAAAAGATTTTGACATTCTCACGTTTGGATCCCTCACTCGTCCCCACATTGCTGTTCATGCAGTGACAGCCAGAGTGGCACTGGCAGTATCTGTGCTGGGTGTGAGGAAGGCAGTGGGAAGGAGGCCACAGAACCAGTTCCCAACAGGCACAAGATTGGCTGCTCCTACTGCTGAAATCGAGACTCTTGAAGCCAATTTATCACATCCAGAAGAGCTGGCAGTCTGGAAAAGGCAGCTCAGGATCCCACACAGGTCTGCAAGAGGATTGGATCAAGCAGGAGCATTAGCCAAGGTTTGTGGAGCCTTTTTACTCCTCCACTCCATGCTGTGCTTCTTCCAGAGCATGAAGATTGTCCTGTGCTGACTCCATGAGAAGGGGATTCACCTGCCTGCTCCTGCAGCACTGCAGCTTCTCAAAGCACATCGTGCCTGGCAAGAACTTCTGGTCGTGGTTTCTCTCCATGCTGCAGCACCAAAGGGCTGTCCTGCACCTCCCAGGAGCCCTGCACCCCCTCGTATGGATGTGCCCACAGGGCACCCAGGTACAACGCTGCTGGGAAGGACAGCACTGACAGCACAAACCTCCCTTGATTTCCAGCCCTCACTTCTTCAGTGAGGCCAAAGTTTCTGATGAAACCTCTGTTAATAAATACCAGGAAGGCTCAGATCAGTACCCACAGGAAGGAGGAATGTGTTCCCTTTAATGAGAAGTTGGAGGTTGCCGGTAGGGGAGGGTTTATGCTCAACCTTGCCGTTGGGAAATCGCCAGGAAAGCCTGGAAGGGAGTTGGTTTTGGCTACGAATTCACCCTTTGCCCCAAGAGCGGGTGTGACAGGCACTCCCTGGCACACGGGCAGGGAGTTGTGTGCGGGCTGTGGACCACAGAGGAGGCACAGGTTCCCCTTTGCAGGACTGAAGGACCACCTGGTGAGTGCCCAGGTCTGCCAAATGTGGGGATGGGGGCACAGGAAAGGGGTGGGACAGCTGCAGGCACAGGCAGAGATGGACAGTTTCCATGGCTCCTCAGAAAACGGCTGCTGGGCTGAGGAAGGGTTTGGGACAGGGGAAGGGGCTGGGAGGAGGGATTACACAGGGTGACAGCTGCTTGCTATTCATTTCAAGCTGGCAGAGGAGGGAAGGAATTGTGTTTCCATCTGCAGGAGCCTGTCCATGCAGGCTGCTGGCTCAGCCCCTGTGCTAATGCTGATGGTCCACACTCCAAAACCTGCTGCCTGCCATTTGGCAGAGCCCCATCTCTCCCCCCAGGTGACCGAGTCTGGTGTGAAGTCTTCATCGCACACAGCAAATTCCCCTTGGTCTTCTGTCAGCCCCTGGCACAGCGAGGTCTCCATTACCTCCACAGCAGCATTTGAGGGCTCTACCTGTGCTCCCTGTGCCCCTTCTCACACAGGCTCCTTCCCATCCCAAAACCAACCCCACTGCAGGTGGCTTGGCACAGAAACAGGGAGCTTTTAAACCTTACCTGACTCGGCCGTGCTGACAGGAAAAAAAAAAAGGAAGAAAGAAGAATATTTTTGGGGTTTTATTTCTTTTTACTCCTTGGTGTTTTTCTCCCCCCTGCTGTGCTCGGTGCCTCCCCCTCTCTCTCAGACGGTGCCTATGAGGGCATTGCCCTGCATTGAGCTTGGCCCCCAGCTGGTTCCTGAGAGCCCCACATGGCTCGTTATCCATTTCTGAGTAGCTCGGGAACAGCCTGACCATTCTGACAGCTGACACAGGGGTCAGTCAAAGAGGATGACTCACCCTCTTGCCTTCCCTGGTAATTTGTCACCCTGCAGATGACACATCTTCGTGGCTCCTCCAGAGCTCTGGCAGCCCCGTGGGGAGCAGTGCCTCAGGGATGCTCTTTTTTTATCCTTGTTGGCTGTTTATTCAGTTCTTATGTGCTCCCCAAACCCTGAGGATGATGATGAGCAAAAGCCAGAGAGGCTGGGTGTCATGCTCTCCTTTCTGTAAGCCAGGGCAGGAGCTCAGGTGAGCCCAAAACAGTGGGTACTTGGGAGGTTTGTGGCTCACGTTTTTCTGTGCGTTGACCCACAATGCCTATTTCTTGTTACCTTTTTTTTTTTTCTCAAGTTAGAGCAAGTTTATTGACTGCAGCAGGCAGGGAGACAGAACCTTGTAGCACCATGATGGGTGTTTTGACAGGGAGAAAAGCAGTGAAGGAGCCTGGATAGAAGTAAAGCCTGAAGTGGCTTGAGCTGGGGTGAGAGAGATTGCCAAAGACCCCAGATTTGGTTTCAACCCCAGATTTGAAGCAGAGAAGCTGCTTTGCCGGCTGGGGTTGTGTGTGCATCAGTCTGGATTAAGCTGGCAGTGTAAATCCAGCCATGGCTGGGCTGGAAAGCAGCAGCTGGCACCAGCCCCTGGTGGTGGGACGTGGAGGAGGCTAAATTAAATTACAAACACATTTCTACTGCCTGCCTGAATCACAGCCTGCCTTAAACATGGAAGGTTCTGCTTGTGGAAAAGGAGGTTGTGAGGCAGCAGTGAGGGGTGACTTTGGGCAGGAAGGAGGTGTGGATAGCCAAGAGGGGGTAAGTCTGAGAGCAAGGGCTGTGGTGCTGCTTTGGGTACATGGGCAGGGAGGACAGGTCATGTCCTCTTCCAGTGGAAGATGTGCCAGCCTTGCAGTCCCAGGATGAGGGTGGGGGTGAGGACCCCCAGTCACTGAAGGCTCAGCTGAAAAGTGGCACTGAGAGCATTGGGGCTTGCCCGGGTTTGGCAGGAAGACAAGCAGCTTGTGCTCTGCGTTGGGCTCATCCTATCTACAGGTGTGGGCACTGATGTCTCATTCACTGACACCAGGGAGCTCTGCAGCCTCCTTGGAGCGTGATGGGTGTTGGGTGATTAGGAACCTCCCATGTGAAATGAGGTGCTCTGAGATTATTTCTCTAACCAGGCTGAACCCTGAGAGTGGGCCAGGGCAAACTCGGGGGGAGCTTTTTAAACAGCTGTGCAGAGGTAATTGCCCACAAATGGTTGTCTGAGTGTGGAAAAAGTTTGTTGTCTCGGCGTTGAGCACTGCCTGTCAGAACAGCTCCATGCTCAGGGCAGAGATGAGAGGCACGAGCTGCCCCTTGGTGGCATTCAAGAGCATGATGAGTTTGCAGCCGCCTGCCACGGCTGCTCTGCTTCACTTGAAGAGGTTTGTGTTTGATGGATAAGGTAGTTTTGTCACAGGAGGGTGAGGAGTGATGGTTCATTGCCTTGAGTGTCACCTGGACCCGTGGTTGTTTCCTAAATGAGAGGCAGCCCAAGAAGTGCTGCCTGTGGGATTTTCTTTCCAGCTCTTTGCTTGGAGAGGGGGAAGCTTCTCACAAGAGAAACTCCTTAAGCTGCCAGACTTCTCAAGGGGAGGTAGGGGAGATGTGCTGCTTGGGTCATATTTGCTGCTTTTACCTATTCTGTCTTCAGACTCAGTCTATGTCCTCTGGCACAGAGACACAGCACTGCTTGCAGACAGCTGAAACAGTCTGGGGGGCTGGCTGAATTCTGGGAAAGCTAGACCAGCTTTTTATTTTGCTTTCAAGTGCTATTGAGCTAGCTCTGCACAGTGCTCCTACGTATGTTCTTTGGGGGTCAACTGCTGCAGAGGCTGGTGGCTGATTTCTTAAGTTTGTTTTTTTTTTTAACCCTTGCAGTCTTCCTGAGGGTTCTAGTTTGTCAGAAACATAGGTGTGAATAAGCAGACTTGCCCTCTGCCCCCACTGTCATGTATCTCTCAAAGGAGCTGCTGTAAGGGAGCCAAAGGACAAACCCAGGCTGTTGTGAATGCCTGGAATGACAGTGACGATAAAGCATGAGATGTCATGAGTGGTTTGTGTCTGTATGTCTTGAAGCTTTATTTTTCCTGATGTAAAAATGGAAGTGACATCTGTGTCTAATGTGTGAGGCTGTGACCTCAGTGAAATGTGCTGCTGGATGCTGCTGGAAGGCTCCTGTGCATCATCTAGGGCTGCCCTGCAGAGGCTCTGCCCTTGCTGAGCTGGCTCTTGTGTAGCACCCTTGCTGTGTCCCAGGGCTCTTGGCACTGGGAATATGGGAAGGCTGCTGTTTCCTTGGGGCCTGGATTTTACATGGGGAGAGAAATCACACTCTGAACTCCCCCAGTGCGCGTTTAGGCACCTGGTGTGGTGACAGATCTCACCCTCCAACATGCAGTTACCATCTTCCAGCTGCTGCCAGAGGTTCAGGTTTGCTGGGCCTTTGCTGCTCTGGAGCTTTATGGCTGAGCAGCCTGGTGATAAACCTGAGAGAAGAGCATGCCTTAACCCTGGAAAGCACTAAGGCCAGGTCAGAGACCCCCAACTAAGCACTGATTTTGTCCTCTGCAGGTTACCACCGTGTGCTACCAGAGAAGAACCCCCAGTGCTCTCCAGAAAGCCTCTCTGCTGTCTGCTCTCCTGGGGCCATTTCTAATAAAGCCAACTACAGAAAAACAGATTCAGCTTCCTCCAGATGCATGGAGACAAGTAAGTTTTTCCTCCAGCACTGCTGCTCTGAGCCCATTCCTTCAAGTTGAGAAAGCTCCTTACCTAGCTGACTCATAACAAATCCTCCCTGCCCACTCACAGCTGGATTTTGGGGATGCTCTGTGCCAATGGCTGTGCTGTGGCAGCTCCCAGCAGGGTTAACCGGGTGCTGGGACAGCTCAGCAGGCAAAGCCAGGCTCCCTGTGCTGTGTTTGAAGGGGGCCAGTGGCTGCAGCCGTGACCTGGAGCTGCTGCAAGAGCCTGGCTGGGGAAGGCGGATGGTGACCAGCCTCTCACCTCACGTGTGCTGCAGCCTGTCCCATTTATTAGCAGCTAAAACTCGCTGTCTCTGCTCCAAACGGAGTGTTTACAGCATTGACGTGAACAGCTGTCCCAGTCAGCCAGATCATAACAAATGGGAGCTCTGGCTGGAGTGTTATTTTGCTGCAAGGGGGCAATACATCTTATTACTAAACAATGAAGCTCGTGATGGATGGTGACGAGTCACTTTGCTGTCTTGC